TGTCTGCCAAACACATTCCTGTCCGCCAGGTAGCGTCGTGGAGGAGTGAGGGTGAGGCCGGCGTCTAGCAGGGTGGTCGTGGTGGAGGTAGGGAATAGCTTCTCTAGGTCCAGGTCGCTGGAAAAGTGCAGGTGAACACCTCTGGTGTTCAGGATGTTAACCAGTGAGACATTTCCGATGGTAGAGATCTTTTCTAAGATCTCAGCCGTGGTGAGAACGAGGTCCTCTCGGAGGCGAACCTTGAGTCTGTGCAACATGGTGCAGGTGGACCCTGGAGCATAGATTCTTTGATCTGTGATGTGTGTCTGAGTGATGCTCCGACCAATTACAAGGTGATTGATTGATTGATTGATTTATGAAGATTAAGCCACCCAAGAGGTGGCACAGGTATAAATAATCGGTAAGATTACAAAGCTGTTGTTGTTTTTGATTTAGCTACTCGGAACGAAATGTCCATGTAGCGCGGGCTATAGTGAGCCCGTAATTGCGTTCGGTTATTCTCGATAACCTTGTTACTGTGTTATTTAGGTCAAAGTTTTAATTGAAGGGAGAGTTTCCTTCCGTTTGCACTGGTTTTAGTCTTTTGTTTTAATATTATATTTGTGGCGGATATAGATACACAGTGTTCACTAGTGTGTCCCATTCTTCAAAAGCTTTTCTAACCATTGTATTCGCTGTAGATTTTGCATTTAATGCAGCTGCTCTTGTTGGTTGATAGTTTGATGCGCTGGGCTTAAATTTCTTCATATTCTAGTAGGTAATGTAGTAGTGGCATTTCTACACATGTTCCACAGATATGACACTTTAACTATTGGGTCTATTATCTCCCAGCAGTACTTGTAGCCAGGTCTGAATCTGTGTATGGCTACTGCAATGTCTCAACATAGTTTTTTTGCCAGGCTTGAAAGAGTGGCCCAGTGGCTTGTTCGTACCACATCGCAGTGGGTCTGCCTTCCGCTACTTTGGCGACTTTTGATAGTTGGGAGTATTTTCTTCTTGATTTGCTCCTTAATCTGTGAAAAACTTAGAGGTATTTGAACCTGTATAACAGGTAGAGCAGTGACACCTTTTGCTAGTGAGTTTGCCTTTTCATTACCATCTATGCCAATGTGACTTGGTATCCAATTTAGGGTGATTGACAGCCCTAGATTATGGGCTTCTTTTCCTATATGTTGGACTTCTGTGATGAGTTGTATATTATCTCTGTGCTGGCTGGACAACAATGTCTGGAGCGAAGATTTAGAGTCGGTATGAATGATGACATCATGTAAGTTATTCTCAATTGCATAATTTATGGCCTCCTTCAGGGCATATAATTCTGTTTGCAATGTTAAGCACCCACTATTCATGCTCCAGTAAGCTTCATGGTTGTTAGTATAAGCTGCTGCCCCAGCAGAACCTCTTTCTTAATCAACTGATCCATCTGTGAAGATGTGAGTCGTTGGTAGGTCTTGAGATGGTTTGCATTTGTTGTTCTCAGACTGATTTGAGCCTCTGCGAGTCGCATGCTGATTTGTTTAACTAGTAATCTTTCAATGATTATCTTTAGACTCGAGTCTCCCCATGAAAGAGGCTGCCGAAAGTATTGATATAGTCTATCTTCTCCTTTATTTGTAATGGTCCATTCAAGTCCGTTCTTAATCCGTTCAAGATTAAGAATCTTACCCAGATTATCTGGCCATGCACTTGTTCTATATTGAAGGTTTCTGTGAAGCGATCTGTGTATGGTCTTTAATTAACAGTCTGGCGGTGGTTCCAACAAGTTTTACTATTTAGGTGGCTATCCTTTGTTTGATTCTGTTTTCTAAGGCTGGTAAGTTGGTTTCCACTCTTAGATTCTCTCGACGCGTCCATATAGGTGCTCCCAGCATTGTTCTGAGGACATCATTTTTAGACACTTCCAGTTTCTCCCATTGATTATCACTGAGGGATGTAAGAGCAGGAGCAGCATAGTCAACAAGTGACCTAACTGCTTGAACGTAGTACATTTTGAGTACTGGTAGCGATGCACCATCTCTAAGACTTGTCAGGGAGCGCAAAGCCGAGTTTCTAACTTTACAACGTTGCCGAAGATATTCATTTTCTTGAGTGAATTTCAACTTGCTGTCTATTAAGACTCCTAGGCATTGAAAAGAGGTAACCCACTCGATTTCATGTCCATGAATTGCGAGTGTGATGTCTTGGGTTCTAATTTTTACCGGCCTTTGCTTTGGTGTAATTGCAGTTTATTTTCACTGCTACGCGTTCCTACTGATGATGGCAGGCATTTTTGTGCATGGTTCCTGGCGCCATTGCCATTGATGATGACCACAAAGTCGTCTGCATAGTTAAGCAGTTTGGCTTTTGATAACTTGAGCTTCATGAATTGTTCCATGAGACAGTTGAAGAGGAAGGGGCTTAATATTCCTTCCTGCGGAGTCCCATTTTCCAGCCTCTTTGAGGTCGATGTTTTTCCTTGGAATTTGACTTTAGCTTCTTGGTTAAGCAGGCTTCCTTAGACTAAGGCAAGAGCGTGCCCTTTGATTTCCTTATCCACAAGGCAGCACAGTGTTGCTGGAGCTAGCTCGAAGGCTTTTTCTAGGTCCAAAAAAAATAAGGATTCCTGGCTTGTCATTGATTTGATCCAAAAGGGAGGTAAGGCATTCTGTGGTTCCAACACCTTTTCTGTAAGCCAACATATTTTGATGCAGTGGATTGGATTTCCAGTCAATTCAGTTAAGAGTCATTCTTTCTGCAGTTTTGGCCAGACAGCTTGTTAATGAGATGGGTCTTGGATTTCCTGGGTCTTTGGGTTTTGGAATGGGAACTATAATTGCACTTTTCAAAGAGTGGTCGAGTTCTTGTCATCCATACTTTGTTGATGAGATTCAAAAAGGCTCCTTCACCCTTTTCTCCTAGCTTGGCTAGCTTGTTGTGATTCTGTCCTCACCTGAAGCTCTGTTTTTAGTTTTCTTTGTAGCTCTTCTATGTTTCTTAAGATTGAAAGGTTGGTTTAGTTAGTCAGGTAAGGGGTAAAGAATCGTCTATTTTGTCCACCTTGCTGCTTGAAGTCTTTGTTGGTGAGCCAGAGATGCTTGAGGAAGTTGAGTGAAACTGGCTCTCGAAGCAAATAGATTTGCTAACCTTTCTGCTTCTTGCTCTGGATGAACATGATGAGGCGGAGCAGGAGGCGATTTTCCTTTGGCCTTGTTGATCTGCCTCCAGATGTCTCCCAAGGATGTATGCTGATTTAGTTTGGCGCACCACTCGAACCATTTTTCTTCTCTGATTTTTGCCGTTTCTTCGTGCACATGATCTCGGACAGCTCTAACAAGTCCTAGATTAGCTTCGGTTTTATCTCTTCTAAAATTCTTTCGTGCACAATTTAGTCTGTTGTGCTATTTTTTTTTATCCTATCACAGTAATCCCAATGGTCCTTATGTTGTTGGGTAATTGTTTTCCTCTTTGGGATGGCATGATTTGCTGCTCTATGTATTGCATTTACTAAATCTTTTTCTATTTCTTCGGTGTTGTCAGGAGGAGTGTAGTTTTGCTGCCAAGGTTCGAGAGTCCTGGTAAGTGTTTCTTGAAGTAATTAAAATATTAATGTTGCCCTTTTGAGAAGCACTGCTCGAGTGTTTGTGCTTTGTTTTTGAATCCTTGGATATTCCATTTTATAATCTTGAGATTGTCCATTATTCTGTTGAATCCATGGTGGTTTCTAATGTACTGATTTCCCCGACGGCTTGTGTCTTCTTGGTTGGCGTGGAGACTGCCATTGGGTGCTGAAAAAATTCAGTTTAGTCACCTTCTTCGACTTCTACTTCGTCAAGCTTTTCAGGTAGAGTTTGTAGACGTGTGGAAGTCAAAAGAACACACACATCACAGCTAGGACCGGGATCACCGCAGTCGGACATACCCATTACAAGGTGAATGATTGATGAAGATTAAGCCCCCCCAAGAGGTGGCAAGGACATGAAGAACCCGTAAATTTTAAGGTGTTTTTTTCTGGTGGTTGTATAGCCGGAGATGCAATGAAGTTGAAGCACCTCACTTTTTTGGGCCAATGGGTCCATTGCAACTTGCCCATCTTCAATGTTTCCATGATGGCAGGGGCAGTATACTGCATGTTTCGCCGTGTTCTGGAAGATGGCACAGTTTAATTTGATGTTAGTTGTTGATAGTTGGCTTGGTTTGTTTGATGTATAATGCCTCGCCGATGTCCAGTCTTCTAATGTCACTCCATTTGTCGATTATTTTGGAGTTGTTTGCTGATGATCTGGTTATGTGTAGAGACTGTGTGCCTATCAACGAGCATATAGATATATCATGTCTACGAGGTGTATCGGTATGGGAGATCATGTCTACATGGGTATCTACACTTGGCACGGGAGATCATGTCAACTTGGGGATATCGGCACAGTGTCTACAGGGGATATCGGCACAGTGTCTACAGGGGATATCGGCACAGTGTCTACAGGGGATATCGGCACAGTGTCTACAGGGGATATCGGCACAGTGTCTACAGGGGATATCGGCACAGTGTCTACAGGGGATATCGGCACAGTGTCTACAGGGGATATCGGCACAGTGTCTACAGGGGATATAAGCACAGTATCTACAGGGGTATTGGCACAGTATCTACAGGGGATATAAGCACAGTATCTACAGGGGATAAAAGCACAGTATCTACAGGGGATAAAAGCACAGTATCTACAGGGGTATCGGCACAGTATCTACAGGGGTATCGGCACAGTATCTACAGGGGTATCGGCACAGTATCTACAGGGGTATCGGCACAGTATCTACAGGGGTATCGGCACAGTATCTACAGGGGATATAGGCACAGTGTCTACAGGAAGTATCAGCACAGGAGGCCGTCTCCACAGGGGTATCGGCACAGGAGACCGATAGCCATGGCCTACAGGAGGTATCCATGGCTTCCTTTGTTACATATTAAATATGCAAATTAAAGAGCCCAACTAGTAATATGAAGACGTGAAGTGAGCGTCTCTACTCACCACATAGACATCTGGAGTCTCGGAGATGGTGGCTGCCTGACTGTCCTCCGAGGCGTCCCTCTCCCTCAGTCTCCTGTAGGAGGCGAAGCGGTCGGCCTTAGAGGCGCGGTTGCCCCACCGGTCCAGCACATCGCCGACGGCCCGACTGTAGTCCTTCTGGAATCCGCTGAAGAAGTCATCCTGGGAAAATAGTCCTCGTCGAGTGATGGGCAGTCTGAAGCCGTGCTTCAGGTCACCGAGTAGGGAGCTGGCTAGGGACATCCTGTGGCAGAGGTCACACCGAACTAATAGTTACAGAACCCAGCTATGTAATCCAACTGTGCAGATGTCCTAAATTAGGGTTTAGAATGATCTGCTTGTGGGCGACGAGAGCGTGCAGTTGGTGCTCTGGCTGACGCCTGACTCCCCTCACCTGGCCACCCTGCTTAAGATACGCCTCTCCTGGCACACTTCCCGCGTCACGTGACGCAGTAGTGACGTACTGGTTGGCACAACGTTCAAGCAGTTTTCCCTTAACTGGCATTACAAAGTTTGTTTAAAGTTATTGTAAAGTGTAATGTGTACATAAGAGGAATGTAAAGAATTTAGACAACTGTTTAACTTAAGGGTTTGGGAATGTGTAGTCCCGCGTGACGAGGGCGGGGCGGTGAGTCAGTCAGTCACAGGCCAAGTCGGCCATGCTCTTAAAATAACATAACATTCCGGGGGGCCGCCTCACACTTTCCTAGCAACGCCCTCCACCGGCCGCCTCTGGGGAAACACCTACCCGCCCTTGGAATGTCTCGCCTCACGTGATTCGTGTCTCCATCACAGACTGAACCACGGATGCAGTCTGCTGTGTATATGGAGCACGGGCGTGCTTGGCACCTTCCTACCGCCGCCCATCCACTCCACGGGTGGGCGTGGGGGTGCATGATGGACAAATTCAAGTTATACGTATCTAGCTCACAACAAAGGTAAATTGTTTAGCTTAAAAATAATAGGGATGATGTATATTACTTAAGATAGTTTAGTTAATTTGTGATGCACCTCATACTCATCTTGTGGGCGGTAGTGGAAAGGGTTACAGAGGCACATAATTGGCTCAGGGACTGAACCCCACAATTCATTTAGCTAAGCAAGTTACAATCTTGATGAGCTAGTTACACAATTTAATACACATCGTCACATCAACAATGGGCTTGAGACCGACCGCAATTACAGTTTCAAAATTAAGCAACTGACATATGTGGAGAGCTAGTGTCACAATTGATATGTTTGTCCTGCACACTGCCCCCCCTCCCCATCCAGTGGGCAGCGGTGGATAGGTTACAATCACTCAGTTACTACCTACAGTTAGCAAACTGAGAATACTTGGCCAATACTTCTGGTAGCAGATCATTTTGAATGAAATATTTACACATCTTTGGAACATTGGTTATAGAATTGTCTCTGAATTCTCGTATATTTCCGCACTCCATCACATAGTGACGGAGGGTGTGCGAATAATTTTGTTGACACAGTTTACATTTGGTCAGGTCTACATCAGCAGATAATGAGAATTCCCAGAGATACTTGTAACCGAGTCTAAGCCGAGCAGTAGTAACATCTAGAAGTCTGCTGATTTTATTGGATGAACCATAGATGTGTGGCTCCTCTTGCATGATAGTATGATGATAGATGGAATTACTGGTGTCAATTTCACTTTGCCTCAGATTTAGGGGGGCCTGATAGCTGTGTGGACAGCGCTCTGGGCTCGTAATCCTAGGGTCAGGGATCGATCCCCGGTGATGACAAACAAAATGGACATAATTTCTTTCACCCTGATGCCCCTTTTACCTAGCAGTAAATAGGTACCTGGGAGGTAGACAGCTGTTAGGGTTGATTCCAATGTGTGTGTGTGGGGGGGGGGAGGGGGAAAATTAGTTAGTTGTTAGTAACAGTTGATTGATTGACAGTTGAAAGGCGGGCCGAAAGAGCAGAGCTCAACCCCGCTAGCACAACTAAGTGAATACAAGATTTTATTGAAGTTCTTGGTGTACTCGGACTGCTCTCAGACTACTTATTGACAATCCAAGATTATACTCAATTTCTCCTTTAAAGGCAGATTCTTTGGCTAACTCATCAGCTGTATCATGCATTCGGAGGCCAACATGAGATGGAGACCACATGAAATTGACCCTGTTACCATCATTAATCATTTTGTTGTATTTGTGTCTAGCTTCAGACACGAGCATGTTACAGTTATGTCTTAAAGAGTTGAGAGCAATTAAGGATGATAAGGAGTCACTTACAATTAATGTATCAAGTTTGGAGACTTGTACACATTTCAGTGCAAGGAGCAAGGCAAATAGTTCAGTCTGAAGGGTAGAGGCCCAGTTGTTTATACGGACTCCCCACTCAAAATATAAGCCATCGCCCATTGTCAGAACAACTGCACTTCCAGCTGCACCCGTGGTGCGGTGTTGGGAACCATCAGTGTATATGATTTGAGAGAGAGAATGCCCTGTGGACAGAGCATCAATATGGCTTAAGGCGTTGAGCTTTGCCTCAAGACGAAGGTTGGGCTGATCTCTAATTTGTTTCTTGGGTGGAAAGCGAGGGATTTAAATTGGAAAGGGTGTAATCTCCCACGGTGCAGGAAAGTGCCGTTGTTCTCTCTTGGTACAAATGATAAACCTGATACATTCTGAGTTCAGTTCTAGTTTTAGTTATCTATTTGGAACAATGTTGACCTTCAATAAAGAAATTCTGGAGGGCTTCTGTGCAAGGGTTAGGATGAGTTAGCCTAAGTATTTTTATACCAATTTTACAGTTAATTTCAGTAACACGATCAACAACGCTCGGAATATTAAGTTCCTTTCTCATATTGAGTATCTTTGTGGTACGAGGGCACCCAAGGATTATCCTCAAGGCTTCGTTCTGCAATTTTTCAAGTCCTCCGAGCTTTCTTTCAGGCATCAGAACAAGCAGAGGTGCAGCATAATCCACTAACGATATGATTTATGCAAAGTACATCATTTTGACAATTCTGACATTGCAGTGATATCCTGCAACAGCCTTAAGAGCTCTAAGCCTCTCTTTATGCTGACGACAGAGTCTGAATACAACTGGACCATACAGTGGCATCTCAAGGCCAAGGTATTTGAATCTGTTTACATAGTTAAGCTGGGAGTCATCATACAGTTGCATCTTACGAACAGCTCCCCCCTGCCTGGGTAGGCGCCGATTTAGTATCTTAGCCATTTCAGCAGAGAAAACAAAACCTAGGTCCTGACATGATTAATACTGAGTTAAGTGTGTTCTGCGTGGTAGCATTCCTAGTGGTGTGTATCATTATATCATCAGCATGGCTAATTTATTTATTTATTTATTTATTTATATACAAGAAGGAACATTGGGTTTATTAGAGTTGAAGTTTTATATTCTTGTAAATCACTCATAGCGTTTCGGGCAGATCTTTAATCTAACATATAATTTTAAGAAAGTAATTTAAAGCAAAATTAAAAAAAAAAAATACAGGTACATTGTAAGAAGATATAAAAATGCATTGTAAGAAAGTATAAAAAAAAATTATTGTACAAGAAATTTGACAGAAAAAGCAAAGTAGGTACAGTAAAGTAAATTAAAGGGTTTTCCACAGGTTCACTTTAGCATAATTTGAAGAGTATTGCAAGATATAATGTAACAAACTATGTGTATAACTTGATACAAGATAACAGCAATGATTACAATGGTAAAGTTGTATGGCATAGGTACATATTTTTGGGAATTGGGTAACACTAGATACAGTGCGAGTTTCAAGCACTAGGTAGGAAACTATGAAGATGAAATTGTACCTTTTGGTTTTATTTTTTAATAAGGCAAAAGTTTGACAGCTCTTCAATTCGTTAGGGAGCGAGTTCCATAGACAAGGTCCTTTATCTGCATAGTGTTTACACAGATTAAGTTTGACTCTGGGGATATCAAAGAGAGATTTATTTTTGGTGTGGTGATTGTGTTCTATTACATCTGTCCACGAAGAGTTTCAGAACAGGATTTGCATTTAAGAACAGGGTTTTGTAAATGTAATTGACATAAGAGAATGTGTGGAGTGAGGTTATGTTTAGCATGTTTAGGGATTTAAATAGAGGGGCTGAGTGTTCTCTGAAAGCCGAGTTTGTTATTGTTCTGATAGCAGATTTTTGCTGGGTGATGATGGGCTTGAGGTAGTTTGCAGAGGCTGAGCCCCATGCACAGATATCATATGTAAAACAGGGATAGATTAGCGCATAATATAGTGAGAAGAGAGCAGAGTTTGGAACATAATAACTGATTTTAGAGAGTATACCAACCGTTTTTGAGACTTTCTTGGTTATGTATGTGGGTGCTGAAGTCGAGTGACCCAGAGTCAAGGGACCCAGAATGTGGAATGACCTTCCCAATCATGTTGAAGACTGTACCTCTCTCAACCAGTTTAAGATAAAAACGAAGCACTACCTAATAAATACCCTGTAACCTACCTTACCCCTATATTATCAACCAATGTCTGTTATTTTTATAAAGAACGTTGTTTGTCGACCTAATTGTATTTGTGCTGTTTTTCTGCCATGTTCTCCCCTTTTTTATTTTTATTTTTTCTCAACACATTGTTATACTTTAATCTCAATTAGTATTAAGTTTTAGTCTTTAATGTTTTTCCTGCCCGAAACGCTTTGCGTAATAGTGGCTTTAGGCATTGTATGTACTAGCTCTATCTATAAATCTATAAATTTTTGTATCACCTCTTGTATGTATGTACTTTACCTGAATAAATATTTGAATTTTGAATTTGAGTCTCTTGTCTAAGTATAGGCCAAGGATCTCTCCATTTTTATTGCTGAAGTTAGCATTGTCAATCTGAAGCTGAATTGCATTTGTTGATTTGCTTCCAAATAAGATGTAGTAGGTCTTTTTTATGTTTAGTGTGAGTTTGTTGGTTGACATCCATAAGTGAACTTTATTTAGTTCATTGTTTACAGCATTATTTAGTGTATGGGGTTTGGGGTCTGAGTAGATGAGAGAAGCATCGTCAGCAAATAATATAGGTGTAAGAATGTTAGAGGTATTAGGCAGATCATTGATGTATATAAGAAATAGGAGAGGTCCTAGGATGCTGCCCTGCGGCACCCTGACGGTTAATGGTAGAGTGGGAGAGATTATATATCATTGATGGCTACATATTGGTGTCTGTCACTAAGATAGGATAGGATATAGTTCAGGGCAAGGCCTCGGATTCCATAATAGCGGAGTTTAAGTAAGAGGTAGTTATGATTAACAGTATCAAAGGCTTTTCTCAGGTCAATGAAGAGTCCAATCGGAAACTCTCTTTTGTCAAGGGCTGAGTAGATTAAGTCAAGCAGACTAATAATTGCATCACTGATACTCTTTTTGGGAGCGGAAGCCAAACTGACAGGGACTTAGTATGTTGCATTTTACGAGACTAGAGCAGTTTGTAAATAATTTTTTAAAATATTTTTGATAATATAAGTAGATTTGATAATGGTCTGTAATTGTATATGTCTGCCGGATTGCCTCCTTTTTGAACAGGCGTTACTCTTGCTTTTTTTTGAGGCTATCAGGGACGGTAGGACACTCTAGAGATTTGTTGAACAGAAAAGCTATGGGAGGCACTTTTGTATACCATGGATGGTATTTCACTAATGTTCCCAGTTTTGGATTTTAGTGAGTGAATGATGGACAACATCTGTAGGACTGACTGGTGAGAGGAGAAGAGAGTTTGTATAGCTGCCTGAAAGATATGTGGTAACATGTGTCTGAGTCTGTGGGATTTTTCTGGCAAGGTTAGCACCAATCGATGAAAAGAAGCTATTAAATTCAGTTGCCTGTTCAGTTAATGATATGCACGTTAGGTTTGCTAGGTACAGAGTTTAACAGCGTGTTTATTAAGATATTAAATAATGAAGGATTGAGGACACCTCCCTGTGGGGGTGCCTAGTTCGAAGTCTTTACAGAATGTGTATCTCTGTAACCCTAGGGTGCCTCTGTAACCCTTTCCACTACCGCCCACAAAATGGGTATGGGGTGCATAATAAATGAACTAAACTAAAGTAACTTCCACATCTGGGGCTTTAAAGGCCTTTAATGCAAATACTCCACCTGATTATTTCACACGTTTCCCTGAATTTACCCCGAGGGCAGCCATCTCTTTAATTGCATCAACGGGTACAGAAAGCCGGCAGCTTTTCAAAGGCCCTCCCTTAATGGAAATATCCCTTAATACATTATCTTCACCTGCTTCAAACATTTGTTTGGAAATGGGGGATGTTGCCTAATCTTTCTTGGGTGAATATCGATTTAAGTGTTCATTCAGTTTTGGCTGCCCATTTATCAATTCTAGCCTGGTTGCTCTCATCTTTAAAAAGAGTCTTACTAAGTTTTTGGTCATAGTTTTACTTCTTAAATAGGTATGAAGACTTGGTGTCGTTCGTTAATGTCTTAAGTTTTTTGTCATAGTTTTTTTGGCAGATACGATCTTGGAGGGTAGAAATTGCCTAAGTTACTGTATCCCTTTGAGACGTATTTTATTGTCTCAATAAAAGTACTTGAACTTGATCCGATCTCCTGAGTGGCTAAATTTAATGTCTTTCTGTATTTATTTATTTATTTATTTATTTGTAACAACTCTTGTAAAAATATTCACGTAGGGTCCCTAGCGCACACAGTGCTTCGGACAGGTCTTTAATACTTATTTTTCCCCGGAATACGACCCACCAAATTGTTTAACAACCAGGCACCCCCATTCACTGCTGGGTGAACAGAGGCTAGAGTTGAGGATTGGCACCCGAACCCAGGCCAAACCATTCACGAAGCACTGGGCGAATGTTTTACCACAGCGCCACAGGGATTGCTTATAATTAGCAGGCGATGAGTCACAATAACGTGGCTGAAGTATGTTGACCAGACCACACACTAGAAATTGAAGGGACGACGACGTTTCGGTCCGTCCTGGACCATTCTCAAGTCGATTGAGACTTGAGAATGGTCCAGGACGGACCGAAACGTCGTCGTCCCTTCAATTTCTAGTGTGTGGTCTGGTCAACATTGCTTATAATTATATCATAATTAATAATCATAATCTATCTTATTTCTACCTAATAATCTTATTCTTAATGGACTGATACTTCTGCCAGAGGTTGAACTTAATAATAACATAATAATATTTTTTGTATTCATAAAATATATGTAACATGTCCCGGAGTGTGTATTTGAAGGTACAAAGGCTGTACTGTATAATATATAAAGCCACTAATATGCAAAGTGTATCAGGCAAAATTTAAAATAATTTAGTTAAATAATCTGTTGATACAATGTGATAAACAATACTCAGTGGCACGTAAGTTAACATACGTGAATTGTTCAAGAAATTTAACAAATGATATGCAATGGTTAGCAGTCTCCGTGGTGTAGTGGTAAGACACTCGCCTGGCGTTCCGCGAGCGCTATGTCATGGGTTCGTATCCTGGCCGGGGAGGATTTACTGGGCGCAATTCCTTAACTGTAGCCTCTGTTTAACGCAACAGTAAAATGTGTACTTGGATGAAAAAACGATTCTTCGCGGCGGGGGATCGTATTCCAGGGACCTGCCCGAAACGCTACGCGTACTAGTGGCTGTACAAGAATGTAACAACTCTTGTATATATCTCAAAAAAAAAAAAAAAAAAAAAACTGTAGCCTCTGTTTATCCAACTGTAAAATGGGTACTATTGTTAAACGATTTGGCAGGTTGTATTCCAGGGAACATAGGATTAAGGCTAATCCTTAATCCTTGTACAGCCCGTAACGCTACGCGTACTAGTGGCTGTACAAGAATGTAACAACTCTTGTATAAATAAATATAAATAAATATAAATAAATAAAATATATGTGTGATAGTGATGATGTGATGAAAGGCATAGATATACAGTTTTAGTGTGTAAAAGATGTAGTAACAGCAAAACATAAAATATCTCTCTTTGGATGAGGAAATGTGAGTGAAATTTTTTACATGATGTAAATTAGATCACGGTAGGCCCGTCTACTAAGGGTAAAAGATTAAGGGGTCCCTTAATCCCTTAATACTCTTAGTAGTACAGTTGGGTTCGTTCTCGACACACAATCCCGGGTGGGACAGAAATGGTTGGGCATATTTCTTTCACCTAATGCCTCTGTTCACCTTGCAGTAAAGTAGATACTCAGGAATTAGTCAGCTTGTTATTAAGTTGCATCCTGGGCGGGGTCACTAATTCGGCCTTGGTGGGGGGGGACCTCGATATAAGCCTACAGTGTATGAATACACTCTGGCTTCCTGTACCCGATACAATGAATTATTGTATTTCTTGGCTTCTCTTTTAAAATGGTTGAGGCAGGTTCAGTTTTTAATGGCATATAGGTCATTCCACAATTTGGGACCCTTGATTTGTGTGATTTGCATAGCATTTCTGCTTTGGACGCGTCTCATTTTATAAACATGAAGTATATATTTGGTTCTAGTGTGGTGCCCATGGGATCATTTGCAGCTCCTTAAGCTCCTGGTACTGTACTTAATTACTGCAGGTGAATAGGCACATGAGATGATAGAAAACGAGGCCAAGTATTCTGTCCCGACAGGGATTTGACCCAGGAGAATTCCAGATTACGAGTCAAGAATGAACCCAATTGTACTACTGGGGGTTGTAGATAATTTTGGCTTATAGATCCAAAAGTACAGATATCATCTTGAGGTTATCTTGAGATGATTTTCGGGGCTTTTTAGTGTCCCCGCGGCCCGGTCCTCGACCAGGCCTCCACCCCCAGGAAGCAGACTGTGACAGCTGACTAACACCCAGATACCTATTTTACTGCTAGGTAACAGAGGCATAGGGTGAAAGACTCTGCCCATTGTTTCTCCCCGGCGCCCGGGATCGAACCCGGGACCACAGAATCACAAGTCCAGTGTGCTGTCCGCTCGGCCGACCGGCTCCCCTCCCAGACCGGATCATAGGTGAGATAGGGATAGATAAGTGAATAATAAGGTGTTACCAATGTGTGGTAATTTCAGTGCCATTCATGTTTGGCAATTCTCCAGTTTAAAAGGCTTCTCACAAAAACAACTGCTCAATTAATGAAATGTTTAATATATTTTGTAAGGAAAGTATTTACATAATAAAGTAAAAATGTACTTAAGTAAACAAAAATTTAAGCACTTGTATCACATTTAAAGAAAGTTTTCAGAAGTAAAGTTTTTTTTAATGTAATTTCTTTAGTATACCAATCTAAAATAAACAAAAAATTAAGCCAATGATTTACTTGAATAATCATAAATAATATATTCAAGACGATTCACAAGATTTTGTTCCAATGATACATAGCTAATCTTAAAAAATCAGTGTATCTTTAAACATTAATAATTTCAAATCAAGTATGTTAAAAGCTAACAAATAATTGTAAAACAATTTCTGAAGACCAATATTTGCACAATTGCAGTGCAGAAAGATCATTAATGTAAAGTATTTTATTTGTGATTATTTCAAATACACTGCATTTTTCATGGGGAATATGGCATCTCCACTGCCAAGCACAGTGGTGCACACAGCCTCATGAACCTGGTGACAAGCAGTGGTGCACACAGCCTCATAAACCAGGTGACAAGCACAGTGGTGCACACAGCCTCATGAACCTGGTGACAAGCACAGTGGTGCACACAGCCTCATGAACCAGGTGACAAGCACAGTGGTGCACACAGCCTCATAAACCAGGTGACAAGCACAGTGGTGCACACAGCCTCATGAACCTGGTGACAAGCACAGTGGTGCACACAGCCTCATGAACCTGGTGACAAGCACAGTGGTGCACACAGCCTCATGAACCTGGTGACAAGCACAGTGGTGCACACAGCCTCATGAACCTGGTGACAAGCACAGTGGTGCACACAGCCTCATGAACCTGGTGACAAGCACAGTGGTGCACACAGCCTCATGAACCTGGTGACAAGCACAGTGGTGCACACAGCCTCATAAACCTGGTGACAAGCACAGTGGTGCACACAGCCTCATGAACCTGGTGACAAGCACAGTTGTGCACACAGCCTCATGAACCTGGTGACAAGCACAGTGGTACACACAGCCTCATAAACCTGGTGTCAAGCACAGTGGTGCACACAGCCTTATAAAAACCTGGTGTCAAGCACAGTGGTGCACACAGCCTTATAAAAACCTGGTGACAAGCACAGTGGTGCACACAGCCTTATAAAAACCTGGTGACAAGCACAGTGGTGCACACAGCCTTATAAAAACCTGGTGTCAAACACAGTGGTACACACAGCCTTATAAAAACTTGGTGACAAACACAGTGGTGCACACAGCCTTATAAAAACTTGGTGACAAACACAGTGGTGCACACAGCCTTATAAAAACTTGGTGACAAACACAGTGGTGCACACAGCCTTATAAAAACCTGGTGACAAGCACAGTGGTGCACACAGCCTCATAAATCAGGTGCCAAGCACTGTGGTGCACACAGCCCCATAATCCCAGTGCTATATAACCCTAGCATCTTGTTACCCCATGTGATAGAGGAAAGAGATTGGAATTGAGATCCATCTTTCCTCCAATTAATGCAAAGTTCTTCACCATAACATGAAAATGGGGGCGGGCAGAGATGATGATCAAATATTGTATTAGTCTCTCCTCAAAATAACTTAACTGGATTGTTTACTAAAGGGCTACAGCTGCTGAAAAAAATGTGATTATGACAAACTAAGAAAAAGCCTTTACTGTAACCATTTTACTTGTCTCAATTTAAGACATTGTCTACTGTAAAGGTTGGCTTTTATGTGTGGTTCTTCTTCAGTGCTAATATACATATATAATATACATGTTTAATATTGTACATGTATAGTACACATGCATAATTATATTATATATAGTCAGCCACGTGCTTTACGAACGCCTATGTTCCGAAAATGCCTGTTATTTTATTTGAGTTACAGTAGTTCCGATAAAAAGTCTGAATAAAAACGTGCAATAAAGATGGAATTAGGTTTGCCCAGTGACTGTACACAGCACCACTTGAACAGTGTTCCTATACTAATGAATGGCTCAGAAGCTTTAAAATCTGCCATGGCATTAGGTACAGTATAGTACATGGTGAAAGGCGGTCTGCTGAGGTTACCTCGTCACCATTAATCACCATTTCAGTCAACCCAGCACTATCATCATCCACCACTGCATTTTAAATCTAAATAACAATGCTCCATCAACTATAATCTTCACGTTAACAAGCGGATCAGAACCTCTTATATTGATGAGTACAGACAAAACATTCAAATTTCTGCAATAAAATTTTAATTTTTTTTCCCCTAGCTTATCGGGGATGACGAACCACTTATCCAAACACAACAGTTATCCATTCAGTCTCAGTCCCAAGGGGTTCGGAAAGCACGTGGCTTACTGTATATAAATATATATATATAATTATTCACTAATTAATTAGTTGCTTCTTAAATATTGCACAATCTGCAACAACAACGTACCTACAAAATCTGTATACTGTGTATTCTTTTAAATAGCATTTTTGTATGAACATAACAAGTTAAATCAAATATACTGTATGAGCTAGATTATCCAGATTCCACTAAACTGGATATCGGGGTTATCCAGACAAAATTGCATCCAGACTGCCTTAATCGACTGAGCTACGACATGGTCGTAGCTCAGTCGATTAAGGCAGCGTCTGGGATGCTCTCGGACGCAGGTTTGAATCCTCGTCACGGCCCTTGTGGATTTGTTCATTTGATGCATCACGCAATTGTGATTTCTGTGTGTACAACAAGGTAAGCTGAAGTTTTTTAAATTACATTACTGATAAAAAATGCTTGGAATATGTTAATTTTTGTATTTCCCCCGATAAGAATAATGCTTATCCAGATAAGAATCCTTCCCATAGAGTCCTGATAATCGAGCTCATACAGTATATAATCAAATATTTTATTTTCAACTCTACACACTTGGCTAGATATCATTCAAAGTTTTTAACAAGAAGAAAGGTTTCCCTTCACATGTCTGGTCTGTAGGCACAAAATGAGAGCCTAACATTCTGTATTGACAAATTTTGTTATAATAAAAAAAAAATCATGCAATTACTGAAAATATTTAAGTACAAGGATGAGCCTGTATTAGATATATAATAATGAATCAAAAACTAGTAAAGTGGAAATGGGACGGAACTATTCTCGTTTTATAATCTGTAGTACCAAAACTTGTTTTGTAACATACAAAACTTAGTCACATTAATACTAAATCCTGCTGCATCTGTCCTGTTCATGTTACATGTCCAATTACATGTACTAAATACTGTACAATATTTCTGAAATTATAACATTGCGCATTCCATGTGCAGAAGGTTAACGGTACAAAAGTTAAATATTAAATAAAACAGTAATAACTTAATAAGACATTAAAACATGAGGTAAAAAAAGACTACTTAAGCAAGCCATGACTCCCTAGCAAGACACCAACACACCCACTCCCCACAAGCATCCTTTGTAATGGGAGCACATGTCCTTAAGTTGCGAGACAGCCACTGCATTACAAAACAGTCACTTTCGTTATCAAATGTGAGATCACATGGCTCATTACAGTTATCAAAATAGAGAGCAGTAGATATAAGCTACTACTGTTTACATTATTGGCCCACACAGTTTAATCTAAACCTAACTATTCTTACAATTACAAAACAAAGTACGTAGAGCAAAACATGATTATCAACACGTCTGTATCAGATAAACATTAATAATGGTAACACAAATACAGTACCTGAAAATATGCATTAACTAATTTCCTTATTGACAAAACTAAAAAGTTTCATTTTTCTTCAGATACAGTGTGAAAGAAAGTGGTAAATTTAAAGTGCCATAAATAAATTTAGTAACAACATAAAACTGAATTGCTTCTATCTGCCATTCCAAGTTCAGAAATGTTTGCATGAAGTTAATGCTCAACTACTGTAATGTGCTACAGTTTTGAGACAGGTGATAATTTTGTCTGTAATTAAAATTCTTTCTGGTAAAGCCTTTCATTCAATCTCGCACATATCTTCCATAATAACTTTTCTTGTATTGAATTTGCATTAAAATTATAAATGCCTATTTTTTTCATATCTCAAAGATTTCGTGAATCTTTGAAAAATACATAATATATATTTTAATCAATATATACTCCAGACATGAGAACAATTTAAAATTATACTGAAATATAATATTTTTATCACAAAGTGTATCATGCCCAAAGTTCACAATTAAACTGTTAGGTACTAGACAATTATTAAATACTGTATTCATTATCCCAGAAATAAGAAAATATTCTAAAACAAATTTAAGGATTACTGAATTATAACTCCTAAGCACTATACAGTACAGTACTGTACTAACAAACACAGCACATGTGTGACCAACTAAAAATTATTCTCCATGAGAAGAGCAGCTGATGTTATTACAAATCACAGTTAAGATCAACACTTCTCTTGCAAAGTAAATCAAATAAAACATTTACGTATACGGGTTAATGATACGAACAAATAATACAGCAACCTATCTTGTACTGCTATCTTCTCCAAAAACCTGAATATTCAGGAAATCAATATAAACCAACAACATTTAAAGTATAATATTTATAATATTATGATGATTTGATAAAATTTGGTGTAATGTTTGTTCATACACAGTTCATAACTGTATTATTTAGTCACCAACAAGCATGTTTAGTAATTTCCCTTCCAGATGATCCACCTGGACATTAACTAATATAAATGGAAAGTACTGTATTTCATACATTATCAGGTATAACAATATATGGTATGACAATAAATTGCCATGCAAGTAATACATGCTTACACAGTTCCTTCCTTAAACCTGATAGTCTCGGGAGGGTCTCTGCGTCGAGATTTCCGAGAATTTTTCCTGTCGATGTCCTCGTGCTTTACCATAAATTCATACAGTTCTTTGTCTGCTACTAAGTCTCGGCCATCAGTGGTGTCATATGTGTTGTAATCATCAGAGAAACAAAGGAACAGAGTATCAACTGCCATCTGAAATGTAAATACATCATGAGGAAAACTAAATAAGGACTTAAATCTTAATTAGAAAATACAGCTGTAATTTACCTTACAAATCTACAAAGACCCTGAGGTGTTTAAGTACCTTAAGTACCAGGGCCCAAATTCACGAAGCAGTTACGCAAGTACTTACGAACCTGTACGTCCTTTCTCAATCTTTGGCGGCTTTGTTTACAATTATTAAACATTTAATGAGCTCCAAAGCACCAGGAGGCTGTTTATAACAATAACAACAGTTGATTGGGAAGATTTCATGCTTGTAAAGTGTTTAATAAATGTAATCAAACCCGTCAAAGATTGAGGAAAGATGTACACATTCATAAGTACTTGCGTAACTGCTTTGTGAATCTGGCCCCCGGTGTTTAAATACCTTAAACAGACAATTCCCAAAGCATAGGAAAATCTTATTCTCTTCAGTAGCATGCATCATAATGACAAATGAATGCAGAGAAGCACAAGCTAGATCTGTACTCGTATTCCACTGGCATATTACATAAATGATTTGTTGTAATATTTTTAGTTGGGGGGGGGAGGGGACACCCCAGGATGCAATGTTTGGGCACCAAAGGGTACTACCAGCATTGGGTTGCATACATAATCCTCCTCAAAGCCGAGGAGAAATGTTTCAAAGTTTTCTACCCTCCAGGTGGAAAACAAAAATGAATCATTATGGGAACAGGAAATATGCCCTCATTTATCCACAAATGTTTGTACACTAATACTATTTACACAATATTATAATGAAACTACTGCATATCAATGTATTCTCTAATATTAGTCACGATAATATGTACTTTATTCGATTTGCAAAAAAAAAAAAAAAAAATACCTTGCATACATAATAACAAAAGCTTTAATTTGTTTCTATGTTTTTACTAGTTATCTAATTCATTTTGGTATGAATATAAATAATTTTGTTTTTAGTGTTTTTAGTATTTTGATGGCATGGGGCAACACTTAAAACCCTGACTGCTCTATGCTGCACACACTGTAAAGTGGATTATTTCATACCCTGCAGCCCAAGCATGTTTTCTTTTTTAAGAAACGAGTGTTAGATATAATGAAACGCCTCTTTCTATATGAGTCCCCAGTGGTTGTCAGCCTTCAAACTGTAGATGGTTAGAATGTTGACTACACACAAGGAGCTAGGTCTTTGACATCATAGCCACAGCGCATGTATGCCGATGAATCCCTTGATAAGAGATTAGAGCAGGAGGACCTCAGCTGGTGAGCTTGTATTTCCTACAACACGTCATAGAAGCTTCTGTATTTACTACACTCCCTAGCATATACGACATACAACCACTTACACGTGCATGACACGGCTTCAGGGAACCATATTACGATTCCTTGTATCTCGCTTAGATCTCTCCCAACTACTAAGTAACATCAGTCACAGAGCTTTGTTTGGTCTATTGGAGACCATACGTCCGCCTGGGATGTATGTGGCATCCAAAATTAAAATATTTGTTAAAATTCCATTTTTTATCCGATCTTTATGGGACTAGCTTTAAAATGCGCACCTTTAGATTGTGAACAATATGATACCACAATGAATGAAGTAACATTAAAATTGAGGTGAGAAAACTGAACAGAGTATACACATTTTGTTTATAACACTCACGGGTAACGCTAGGCTGATTTTCAGGTTTTCTGTGAGTTGCACTCCTGGATTTTTTTTTAACTTGTATGTATATATACCTTTAGTGAATTCTATTGTAAATAATTTGATACCAAAATGAACGATGTAACACAAACGTTGACGTGAGAACACTGAAACGGTATACACATTTTAGTGCAGGTGTTGGTGTGCAGATTTGTGCTCACTCACGGGGAAACGCTCGGCCGATTTTCGGGTTTGCTGCGGGTGGCATGCCGGGTTTTTTGACCGTATATGCGCATATCCCTTTAGAGAATTCTATTGCGAACAATTTGATACCAAAATGAACGATGTACAGTAGCACCGAAATTGAAATGTGAAAACTGATATACACATTTTAGTGGGGGTGTGCTGCTGGGGGCTCGATCACAGGTAATGCTCGTCCGATTTTCGGGTTTGCCGCGGGTGGCACCCTGGGCTTTTGGACCTTATAAGCATATACCCCTGTAGGGAATTCTATTGCGAACAATTTGTTGATACCAAAATGAACAACATGAAAATTTATGTGTATACTCTCTTTCAGTTTGATAACATTTGTGTGCGAGTGTTGCAGGTGTGCCAATGGGTGCTCGCTCATGGGGTAATGCTTGTCAGACTTTCGGCTTTGCTGCGGGGGAGGGGGGTATTTTGAACCTTGTATGCATAAACCCCTGTAAGGAATTTTATTGCGAACAAGTTGATAACAAAATGAACGACGTAGCATGAGAATTAAGGTGAGAAACCTGAAAAGAGCATAAACATTTTAGTGCTGTTGCGCGCTCACGGGCTATGCTCGGCCAATTTTTGGGTTTGGTGCGGGTGGCACGTCGGGCTTTTGGACCTTAAATGCATATACCCCTGTAGGGAATTAAATTGCAAACAATTTGATACCAAAATGAACGATGTATAATGAAAATTTAGGCGATAAAACAGAAATGAATATATACATTTTAGTGTGGCTGTGTGCTCACGCAAAACACTCGGCCCACCTTGGGGTAGGCTGGGGCACGCACGCCGGAAATACGAAAGTATTAAGAATTTGGTAGGCATAGATAGGTTAGCTGCTGCAAATAGTGAGCCTATACTATAGTAAATTCATTTAAGTTGTTGGGAAAAAAATTATGTCTATGCCCTGTAAAGTTTGTGACCAATTGGGCTCTTTGGCATGGATAATAGATAGTTTCTGTATGGATTTTCACCTCAAAAACATTTAATTAACTTAACTACTGTACTTAACACTAAATTTTAATTCACAGTAAAATTACTGATTACAAGGATATCACGTAAGGAAGTATAGACCTATAGAGGAATTTTTCTATTTCCTTCATTTTCTAAATAAACCAATTAGGTCATTAAAATAATGTATAGTTTGTACCTCATAGACAGAAAAGACACAATGCGTAATGAAGAATGCAAACACAGCTGTGACGATGAGCGGTACTGCGTAGAGATGAAGAGTGGGGTCAGCATGGAGCACTGGGAGGGCTATGCAACACACCGTCCCAGTAACAGCTACTTTGGCCAGGAATAACATCAAGTCCCCAACACTGTTGACAGTGGCCACCTGTAGCATGTTGGTGAGGACTACACGCCATGCCTGAAGAAATCATTTAAAATAAATTAGGTTTTGAAAAAAATATAAAATAAATTGAAAAGCTACTTTCTCAGCATAATGCTAGAATGCTCTATAAAGCAAGATCACTGAATAAATCATTGGACATAATCCCGAGTTAGAGATTATAATAAATCCCGAGTTCTAATAAGCAAGGCATTAATGCCTTGCTTATTAGAACTTTGAAAGTAAAGAGGATTAGTGAAAAATTGATTAATTTATAGGATTATAAATGAATTTGCAGTTTTTGATGAAGCTTTATATGAAGGATCACAGTATCGACTGCCAACACTTCAAATAAAACTACAGTACTGTGAAAGATACCTGTAAGCAATCACCATCCAATGAAAGAATAGCCGTTTCAAGAAAATGTAATTACTACACATAAAACTTTATTTTAACCATAAATATTCACAAAAGTATATACTGTAAATGTAAATCTTGACAAGAGAATACACTACTCACAATCTTGGCCGAGGTACAAAATGCAGTGCCTCTGGTGGCAGTCACGGTATAAGCGTTGTGGTTCATGTACTTGAGGAAGTGTTCAAAGCACCATAAGCAGCAGCAACATGCGCGAAGGCAACATTGTGCGCAGCTGTGTTCAGGGTCTTTGCACCTATGGAAAACAGGCAATATTTGTAAATGAAGTTAAAATTAAGGTTTAAACATTTAAAGTCAGCAGATTAAACCACACACCAGAAGATGAGGAGATGGCGACATGCCGGTGGTCGTTGTCTTAATCTACGAATAAGCTATGTATTTGCCAAGGACAGTCCTTGTCTTTTTAATGGTAATATATATACTTATTAAACAACCCTTATTCTTCTCAATTTCATGTACACAAGAGAACAATCCTCTTTCTTTCCCCAAATATATATTTCCCGTTGCAAGCAGATGATGACCGTTTCTCTTTTACGACAGTCAATTCAGCACGTAACAATTTTTGTACAAATGTTTATAGATGTTAATTGAAAAGTTAATACTTGAGGGCATATCAAATATCTGGTAAATATTCTAAAAATGACCACCTAAATAAAAGAGGAGTTCGTAGAAGGTATCCAAATTCTGATAAATACATAAAGATTATAACAAGGTCTTGCAGCAACATAAGGTAATGCTTAAGAGTTAGAGAAAGTAATAAATTGCTTACCTTGTAATATTTAGCTTGTTAAGGCAGTATGACAAAGGTTAAAAAAAAAAATACTGATATATATCTGACTGATGATGGGTACATAAGTAACATCCCGCTGAAAAATTTACTAAATACACTTTAAGTACTTAATTTGGTGAACAAACTAAATACAGTATATAAGGCAATTTAAATACATATACTGTACTGTGCGAGTCTTGAATCACTGTCTTTAATGTAGCTTGATGTTTTCCACTTACCTTGCATCATATGGTTGTCAATTAAATTAGGTTGATAGATAATCAACAAAGATTATAGAAAGTAACATCAACAAAAAATGTAATTATATGTCTTAAGTTGAATATTTTATCAATTTAACTAACTTTTTGGTGACCCATTGTATGATGAGCCTTGGCAGCTTGCAGATGGTGATGAGCAATGACCCTTTTGCAACAGTGCCTAAATGGTACAACAGCAGTGTTCGCCACGACCACCACACCGGGTGCCGTACTTTTCCGCGGCCCTCCTGTCTGAGATTGTAGAATTAGTACAGTAATAGTATAATTTGACAACCGACCCATTTGAAATCGAGTATCTTGCACACACGTAGATATTTAATAACTTCCATGACTAATCTAACAACAAACATTTTAAATGTATTCAAGTGAACACCATGGTGGTGCATTATAAGCAATATCCTATTATTATACGGGAGAGAAGTCCTAATCAAAACAAACACCTAAGGAATGGAAGTTCAAATGAAATGGCAGATATGTGTTTATAGTTATTTAAGACTGTCTTGCATTACTAGGCAACTGGCAGCAGTAATTCATTCCTATAATATGTCTATGCATAGTAAAAACAATACAATCAAACTTTTATAGCATTGTACATTAAAACCTTTTCTTCACTTGATTTGGAAGTTGTGATCCAAGCATTCAACACCTTTCTAAAGAATGCTTTAAGTTGGAGAATATCGAAACGGATATTTTACACTCACCTTGAGAAATACCAAGTGGACACAGCTGATGCAATAATCATCTGTTGGCATCCTAGGATAAATTCAGCCACCCACACCAGTCCAATTACCCACACCCACCACAGGGACCGCACCCAAGTAGGATTCCTATATTCCAACACTCTTTGTGGGGTGCCTGTTAATATTAGACAAAATCAAACACTTTTTTTCAAAAAGTTAATTAATGCTATTTCATACCAACTTCTTTTATATATGATAGTTTATATGACTTAAACACAAATTATGTTAGGCAAACCAATCCTACCTCTTACAGTATAATTAAACATACATTCACCAATCTGAGAAGAGATGGTAAATTGTGAGGAAAATTCTTGCTGGGGTTAACTATTAAACATATGATAACAAATGTAGTATTGATGTATTTGTACTAACTCTTAGGCAGTGCAGTGGAGAGGTTTGTGGAGGTTCCCATTAAACTCTCAGCAGAATGATTGTTGATAGCCTCAAGCTGGGTTGAATGTAAACTGCCACTACCCAGGTGTTCTGTTGCAGGTGAAAATTTTAATTTAGAAAACTTCTTATACAAACTTGCCAAAAATATTTTTACTAATTGTTTCTCAGCTCTATATAATAAGATTCCTATTTTTTTCTTGGTAACACTTGAGTACTAACACGATGGCACTTAAGTGAGTTGTATGCCGTGCAGTCCAAATTACATGACCAGACAAGTGACTTCTAGCCTAAATAATGGAATGTAACTCAGATAAGCCAAGTGTTGCCAGGATGCTACATCTGAAGCTGCCTTCATTGTTCAAAACTCAGCTATAGCAAGACACAAGCAGAAATAACTGAATGTTTTAGCTAATTCATGTACATGTAGCACGTCCACATATTCCTAATGAGGCAGATAACATAAAATCTTCCAGTGACACTAGTCACCAAATTCTTAACAAATTCTGTTTTTTTAGAATTCAAAGGAAGTATCAGGTATCATACAGGAAAAGCTGTTGTCACTGAATGCTTTCCATATACTGAACATATTTCATTTATCCAGGAAGCTTTATCTTCCATGCCTTGCAGCTTTTGAGGACTTTGGGGCTGCCTATCTTTTCAAGAATGCATTCTTAGGTGAATTACCTTTATGAATGTTTTGGCCATGCATGATTTTGATAGTACTTCTATCAAAACCTGGCCTGGGGTCAGCCTTCTCTTGTCACTGCCCGATCTGCGAAACTGTTCGTCTTTGAAGCCCGCAGGCCCACATAATAACCACAGCCAGAATGAGCTGGTGACTCCAAGAGAAATTGTCAAGTTCCCTCATGGAAACTTACACTGTTAACTGTTAATCCAGTGACATTTCTTAAATTTATTGGCAGGAGTCTGAAGAGTTATGGGCACCTGAAGTTTACACTGTGTTCTCTAAGCATGCCTATGCACCCAACTTTTCATTGACTTACAGTATTTTACAATGCGTACAAAATCTTTCACTTTAAATAAGTTAAAATATTAAGCAGGTTTGAAACCCGACCCAGCAATTTCCATGTTCATGCTATGAGATCTCGTCCCAATTACAAGTACAAACTGAGTGCTTTCAGGCAGTCCCAGGGGTCTAGGGGCTTCACTGATTTTTATGCACGAAATATTGAGTAAATTCAAGACAAACGAAAGCCTCCACCCTATAATGTTCATTTGGGTGAGATTCTACTATGCGATTTTCCAGTGTGTGATGATTAAAACTTCATTTTATGAACTAGTGCCAGATGGGAATGTTTGCCTAATCAGAGTACCAAGTAGAGGATGTTCAGTACTAAACATGATCATCTCTGCCTTTGCCCAGCCTTAATGTGATGGAAACCTAAAAGGAGTGACCGCAATGTGAAATGTAAATATCTGAATGTTCGTCAGACTATCCAATATGTAAATCAGTCGTTAATTTTAAAACATCAGAAGGAAGCACAGGCATAAGAGATATTGACTGACATTAAAAACTTTTGAGTAGGGGAAACAAAATGCTCAAGGACACAGATATTAGTGGAGTAAGAAGAAAAAATAAAACTAAGAATGTTGGAAAATATCCCACTGTGAGAGCATATGGGACTGAAAAATGTATATCACGTCACAAGAGCCAAAGAGCATCACTGTAGCTAAGGAAATGAAACATCAACAGAAAGACGACCTTTTTTGGAAACAGCTTCGTGAAAGATAAATCTAACTAAAATACTAATTATTGTGTAATAATGTCATTGCATAAACCAATATATTAACTTAAAGCTTATTTTTTGGTAAAGATTAGGTCACTTGCAGTAATACAGTGTAATTTGGCATATACTGTATGGTGTTAACTAATACGTTTTTAAATATCCATAATATCTACATTATTATTGAGATCCAACACACAATTGAAAATGAAGAAACGAAGACGTTTTGAGCCCTCCTGGACCCTTATAAAGTACTGTAATGCAATCGTCAAGAGCAGATCAAAATGTCGTCGTTTCTTTATTTTCAGTTGTGGGTTGGATATCAACTCTTCAGCCACGTTATTGTGGCTCATCATCTTAATTATTATTATTAGCGAAAACATTTACATTAACCTATTTGAAAGATATGCTAAAAAATAATCTGGCTAGCTTTACAAAATTATTGAAACAGACTTTTTCCTTCACACAAACACAGCAATTTATTTTTCCCTAAACTAATAATTCAATTAATATAATTTATATTTATTGCTCCCATGTTCCAGCTTTCTCAAAAAATATTTAAAACAAAAACATTAGGACAGCTGATGATATGAGCGTAGCATCAAAGCTGACCAACCATATGTGCACTTACTGGCTGTGGCAAGGGACACCATCACCCACACCCACAACAAAAAGAATGCCAGTAAAACAAAGTAGGTGATGACTGGTTGTAGCAGGAGTGTTGGATGACGAGTGAGACATCCACCAGCATGCTTAAACAACTCTGCCACCATAGAGATATGCGGCCACACATAAACCACCAGAGCAATGAGTGCGACCTGTTGGTTAAACCACAAATAAATAAAACTTAAGTAGTTTGAAAATATTTAATTTTATATGAAGTTTTGATAAATTTGAGCAAGACATGATTTCAAATTATGCCTTGCTACAAAAACCAGCGTTCAATGTAATGAAACACCAATTTCTGGGCGAGCCCCATTGGCTCCCTGAAGCTATCATACACTGAACAGTGCCATACTACTAGGTGCCATCAGTCATGGAATTCTATTGGCCTACCAGGAACCCTGCACCTCCCTGAGAGAGGTGCAGGGAGTGATGGCCAATGAACACTTTAAATGTAAAGTTAATCATAATTGCCATACCAGGAAAGCACTGAGAAAGTTAGGCAAAAACGAAGTACTGCAAAAGCGAACTACTGCATGGTTAAAACAGAGACTGCAGCCTCAAACATTGCCAAAAGAACTCCCTCCAACAATGAAAACGAACCACCAAAATTTTGTGATATTAGTACGAGTTAGTTTAACCCCACCTTTTCCCTCATCTTGGGGAGGGAAGTCAGACCAGGTCTGCCGGGCCCCACCACCTTCAGTTCTATGATGAAACACTGACACCTTGGGGGAAGGGAGGGTGGTCAGAGAGCCTTTGGAGTTCACCCAGAAATTGGCATTTCATTACATTCAACACTGGTTTTCTGGGGGGGGGGAGCCCTGTCAGCTTCCTGAAGCTTACTACCCACAAAGAAGGACAATAAAGAGCATTTATCAGGGAGGAAGTAGCACCGCAGGTATCAACTTTAAAACAAAGCCTTCAGCCACGACACATGACCTTAGGCAACACAAAGCTCCTAAGGACCAGAGATGTTCACAAGATAGCTGGTCACCAAGACATTGTTCGACTTCCAAAACCCCCGTGCCCGAATACTGGCCCAAGACATATTAGCAAACACTGCCATCAGAGCAGCATGTTTACAGATATCATGAGCATAAAGATAGACTGCAGGCAACCTGTGCATCTGAACCCTAGACTTCAATTAGGTAATTGATTTGAGTAACAAGTATTTGTAATTATGTCCCTAATCAGTTCATCATTGTTTGTAAAATAAGATCTAAGGTGCTTTCTTTCCTAATTGGTTCTACTATTTACTGGTTTAAGGCAAATCTGTCTTACATGTGCAAGAGGTCATTTATGTATGACTTTTCCCTTAAACTACTTCCCTGGGATTCTCTCTGGTATAACTGTATTATCCACATTTTTCCATTTACACTTAGACCGCTGTAAATCAAAACCTCAAGGGTAAAGCGATTGCCGCCTTAAAACCTTGAACGTTATCAGAAGTATTTGTAAGGAGAATAACGTGCAGAGAACAAGTCCCACACGACTCGGGGTCGAAGATGTCTTTGACCCACCAGGCAGCATGGCGAAGACAGAAGGAATGAGCATTGCCACATGGCACAGACGATGCACAACCTCGAACTCGCACATGGCAAAAATGGGCTCGGCAAGAATATCCATTGGACCATCAAACCTGCAGGGGTTTTCCAGGGTCTGCAGGGAATGGTCCTGCAGGAAGCCCAGGCACTGGGATCACTGTGCCAGAAACCTAGAATAGCTAACCTGAGGCTGAGAAGGCCGACCTCGGTGTGACATGGTTAGGTCGTTCAAACCCCAGTGTGCCCAGCCTGCCAAAATTCGCTTCCCCACAAACGAGGAAGCCCTCTAGGGAAGCAAACCCCAAACACTCCAGGGAAAGAGAACCCTGGCAGTGTAAGGCAGCACTGGGGAGTACACAGGCAAGAGAACCTTGTGCACATGCAGCTCCAAGCACACAACACTCCTGGCTCACGCAGCACAATCGTCTTGGGAACAGCCACAAAGGCAAAAAACCAGCATTGAATGTAATGAAATGCCATTTTATAGGTTGATTCCAGGAGGCTCCTTGAAGCTAATGGACTAATATAGCGGATATCAGTCCGTTAGCTTCAGGCATCCGAAAGGGCTTCTCTCAAAAATCCACCACTCTGCTGAAACAGAACACTGCAGCTAGAGCTACTTAATGGACAGCCAGACACAAGCTACAATCAGCTAGAACTGAGAGTGGAGCAGCTGACTGACCAGATCTGCCTCCAGCCTTCCCCAAAATGAGGGAAGGTGGGATAAATGAGCTTATGTAAGTTTTATTAATTTTTTATCATTTATTTACATTGTTGGAAGGAGCTCTTTTATCGATTTAGAGGCACCAATCTTCCCTCTAACCAGCAGTTTTGTATCTCTGACTTTCAGAGTACTTCCCTGGTGGTGGCGAACCACCACTGTTTGTCGAGTCCCACCAATTCAAAAATATGGTACTGGCCCCACGTAATTACTCTTGTGTTTGAAGCGTTTTTAAATACATATTGGTTCTACAACCCTGATTTAAAGTAACATATCTATACAGTGGAACCTCGGTTTACAAGTGCCACCTCTTTACAAATTTTCCGGTATATGAGGTCAATTTCCTCGTAAAATTTGACTCGGTTTACGACGTTTGCCTCGGATTTAGAGTTCGTTGATACATGTATGGGTCGACAAGCATGTGGTGCTGCTGGGCGAGGCACGCTCAGTTTACCGGTGCATCCCGCCTAGTGACGCCTGCACTTGAATTCTTTGTGAAGAATTTTATTGTTTTTCTGCTTTTTTGGTTTTCAAACATAAAAGTTCTTATTATATATCATGCCATGTTTCCCAAATAAAGTCAGTGATAAAGTTCAACCTAAGAAAATAGTTGAGTAGAGGCAGTAGAGGCTGCCCCTTTCTCACTAAGAAAATGTGTGCAGTATGAGAAAAACTGCAAAGTTTTGCTGAAAAAACATGCCCATGTCAAGCTGTACCAGGCCATTGCCTTAACCTTTTTAAGGGGGCGTTATTCACAAAATATGCAAAAAATGAAAACTCGTTCAATTTCAATCAAACTTTTTTGATAAGTTGTATATGAAAAGGGTTTCATTTGGTCCAAGTCTCGGCATCGTAGCATAAATAGGAAGGGTGAAAAAAATATTGAATTATGTGTCAAAAATTTTCAAAAATGGTCAAAAAAGATTATCAAACAAAAATGTCAACTGAAATCATGTCTATGACTCTCAGCTATCACAATAGCATATATTAAAAACAAATTATAATTAGTTTTATTAACAAAAAATTTAGTTAAAAAAGTCAAATTTTACTTTTTTTTTTGTTAATTTTATCTCTCTTTTGTTTATAGGGCGATTTGCATGAAACTTATACACCTGACTGCACGTATGCCTATCTGTAAGGGTGCCAATTTTGGAGTAAATTGGTTGATGTCAACTTCAGCCACAGAGGGCAACACCTTAGACTTTATTTTTTACTTACTTGAAAGTTTGTTACTTGAAAATGAATATCTCTTTCATTTTTTATGCAATTTACATGAAACTTACACATTATATATAAATTTTATGTCTCTCAAATCGTTAGCAAGCGTTTTTATCTTGTTCTTTATTGACTTTATAATAGCAATAAACATGATATATTTGCATAATTTTGGGGGAGAACTTAGACTATTTGTATTAGGAAAACTAAAGACGTTTTGGAAAATCTTTTGCGAGGGATCCTTTATTATATGTTAATTTGTCAGAAAAGAGTCATAGAATGATTATATCTGAAAGGTGTGGTTGTAAATTTACACTTGAAAATGTGTAAAATTCATTGAAAAAAATAAAAAAATTAAAAATCTCCCTTACTATTTAGGCTACAGTACTGAAACTTCGAACAATTGTAGCCCTTTTCATATACAACTAGTCAAAAATAATGGTTGACACTAAACAACAACTTTAATATACCCGAATAACGCCCCCTTAATGACAGTATAAGGTGTCACTATAGAGAAGTGTTAAAATGTAGGGGAAAACAAGTGTCTTTAGACAGATTCTTAATAAGACAAGCAAGCAGTGAGCCACAGCCTGGTCCTAGTGGTATGCCTGCAAAACATAGGAGAGAGAGTACCCCAGAAATGTCATCACTGCATGATTATATAATGGAAGGGGGACTCCCCTTCCAAACTCTAACATCTCTCTTCCTCCCTCCCTCCCTCTTCACCATCTCCATACACCAACAAGAGTCCTCAATAAAACTATGGTACTATAAAATAATATTAGTATACTGTATAAAATGTATTTTCAAGTTAATATTTTTGGGTATGTGGAATGGATTAATTAAAGTTACATTATTTCTTATAGGAAAATTTGTTTCAGTTTAAGAATTTTAGGTGTACGAACCATCTCTTGGAACGTATTAAATTCGTAAACGGAGGTGCCACTGTACAATAAGTAAGAAAATAAGGACGAATCTTGTTAGTTTGTACTCTAGAGTGTGCCTTTCAACTCGTGCCAGTACAATATTTATGAATTGGCGGGACTTAACAATCAAAATGTGTGCATAACATTTATTAAGACACATGAATGGGATAATACACTAACAAGAAATAATTTCTCGCTCACCAGATTAATGATGATTACTAATGATTAAGTTCCAGTCACTCAGATTCAATGCAGGTCAATAATCTCACACAGTGAGGTTGGTACCTCATGAGTGCACACACACACACCACACACTCCCAGTGTGTCAAGTCTCAGCCCTCTCCCCCTCATGGGGTGCAGGGATGCTACTCTCACGAAAATGCGTGGGAAAACTTTACACACACAGTCATACACATTTACTAGTACATACTCTCAAACACTTACAAATGAAGTATAAAATTTAACACACAACAAACTGGTATTTTAACTAGAATGAACATTTACATTAATAACAACAAAAGCTAATATACCTAATATAATAAAACTTTATATACCAGTCATTACATCCCACCGAGATACGGTGGCTAAGAAGATTGTTTCATGTAGATTTTGGAAAACGGCACAAGTACTTGTACTGCTAAATACATAGGCACATTAAATATTTTTGTTGTCAAGTCTTAACACCTCTAACACTACAATATGGAAAGTCTGATTAGCTTACAGTAATGATGGTAGATAAGATGGCATACACCAGCAAGGCTCGTTCATTGCGGACGGTTTCATCAAGAATCTGGTCAAATGGAGAATTATCAAGCTGCAGGCGAACAGTAGCATAGCTCCACCATAACAGTATTGTTGCCACTGTAAAATAGCAATACATTTTAAAATTAATAATTTTATTTTACTAATGAATTTTAATTTCCTGGAGATTAGCTAGTACTAGTTAGCATATCATTAAGGATACCATAGTGTAATGTACATATACATTCCTTATATTTAACCACTGCACTGCTCTGCATTATAATATGACACCCACGTGATGCGGCAGAAAAAATTATTTAAAAATTATTTTCCCTTATATTGTTAAAATGCGGTCTCTGATCACGGGACACTAAAATCAAATATTATATGCTATGTACTTTAACCGTGATGGAGCAAAGAAGTGGAGCAATTCATGAACGCTGAGCGAGTAGGTGCTTGAAGACACTTGTTCGTCCCAGCTACCTCATGAGGCAGCAGTTGCCGTGAATATTTCATAATTATTTAAATGTGTCTCATTGGTTTTTTCCTTTTTTTTTTTTTTTTTTTTGCTGTAATATTATTCAAGAGTGTGTAATTTACATAGTTAAATGTGTAGAACATCGCTACTCTAAAAAAATATGGGGCACATATATAGTAACACGTATATTATATTCTTGGATCAAACAAACATTATTTCTACTGTTATTACACTATATACACACATGTTACATATAACTACAGTATCTACATTTTTTGTGCACCATAGTGAACCACAAAGATCGTGTGTTGATACACAGAACAACAATCCAAGGTCAGCCTAGCGGCCAACAGCTGAGTGTGGCAGGGGCTGCCCCAAGTACATTTTTACATAATTATTTCTGTATCTGTGAATGGTTTTATATCTAGATTTTTTGCAGGAATATTATTCAATAAAGAGTAATTTGAGAAATTTATATAGTTAAATATGTGGAACATCGTTATGCTTAACACTTTGCCTGGCCTGGCGTGTAACCCCCAGCACACCCCAAAGTCGGCCGAGCATTTCCAGTGAACGCACACCCGCACTAAAATGTTTATACTCTTTTCATTTTTCTCACCACAATTTTCATGTTACATCATTCATTTTGGTATCAATTTGTTTGCAATAGTGTGTTCTAAAGGGATATATATGCATATAAGGGTAAATGGAAGAACAACATTATCAATACCATAAGAATAAGGTACAATGTACTGCAAATCATCACATAAAAAAAAGGCTTTTCGTCATTATTTATACTTGTTATTTGTTCCTGACATTATTTGTTACACTATTTCGTTTGTTTTTGTCCTGCATCCTTCACATAAGTGTACCACAATCACAAAAAATGGGAAGACACTGGCGCACTTTCTTAAAAATGTCCCATAATGATCGGAAAACAAATGGATTTTTAACAAATTTTAATTTGAGACGGTGTGTGTCCTCACCCAGCCTGAGTATATTTATATGCGGATGCGTTATCGGGCAGGCAGAGTGTTAAACTAAAAATATGGGGCTTGTATTTAGTGACACATTTTTAGATCAATCAGCGTTCTTGCTGTTATTACACTATATACACATGTTTTTCTTGGACTAAAGACACCAGACCAGAGGGGTGTTTTCTGTAGGTGTTTGGTATTATGTGCCCCTAAGCATTATTTGAGTGACATCTGTGGTTATACCCACTCTTGAGACATAGTAGCCAAATTAATATGCAAAAAGGCTGAAGTTGAATTAAACCTAGGTATCCCTATCTCTGCTGTTAAGGAAATATTGCTTCAAACATTTGAATCTGATAAGAGAGAAATCAGACTCTCAAAGGTCTGAAAGTATCAATGTGAAAGTTACGATTTGTTTGATCTGATCACTACGTACTGCACATTGACAACACAAAACATCCACCAGAAAGTGCAACTTAGTGGTTGCCAGGCTCAGGGTGGGCTACCATTACCTGTGGCAGGTAGCTACAAAGGACAAATCTTCCAACCCTGAGCATTCCATGTGTAAACTCTTTAAGTAACAACTCGGTCATGATCTCACACACTATATTATTGAATATTCCCTCATTAGACCCTTCAGATGTGCCAGTATGATGCACCTGCAACTTTGCAATTACTTAACTCCTTTTTGTGTTCTAGAGAATATCTTCATACTACATCCAATGTTTGTAAGTGCAAGTTACTGATTGCATGCTCTTGTATGACTAACAATTCTGCAAGATGATACCTAAACATGTTAATAAAAATTGAGAACAGTGATGTGAGATTGAGCTATCTCAGACGATAGGCTAATATAATGGTATCCTCACTAAGTTGTATAATTTAATCATAAATATCATTAATACTTCGTGATTTTATCATATACTGCTATGGTATATATATGTATATACCATAGTAGAGTATATAAACAGAAAGAACAAATATAGAAATGCTTTGCACTTACCAACTGAGGCAACTGAAACAGCTATCATGACAGCGTATGACACAACCCCAGCTACAAAATGTAAACACAGCATCACTGCACATGACAAACCTATTGAGGAAAAAAAGTAGAATTTGAATAAAGTTTGGCAAATTTAAAAGGAAATTAAGCTTTATAAAATAATATTTTGTCAACAATTTCATACCATAATGTACTAATGGAAAACTAATCTGTACATGACAATAAACTATACTGTACTAAAATATCTGCAAAATTAAATCCACAATAGTAATTTTACAACTCTTAATAAGCTACCTTACACGAGGGCATTCTCATATTCAAATATATTAAGGCTTAAACTAACCTATTGCGTAGCACTCATCTCGTAGGATCTCGCACCTTGTCCTGTAACACTCTGCAAGGGTTACATCTTGCCAGAACACTAACTGCTACTTATATGTAAAGACAACATTTTGTAGGTGGGTGAAAACACAAGCCTCATATAACGAGCCAACTTTGTTTCGGGCGAATAATAATGTGAGCTTAATATTAAGAGTAACATAAATCACTTCAAACTTACTACTGTGCACATAAGATGAGGAAAAGGAAAGAGTGAATGAGATGCTTGATGTACTTCCTCTACTTCATTACACACTGGAATAGTCACTGATACCAGCTTGACAAAATGATACATATTAGGGTATCTTAAAACTCATCACACCAGTTTTGTTGCCAATGGTGTCTAAAGTCATTCCTCATTTCTCCTAAGCATGATTTAAGAACAACTTTCCATGCACTGGCTACACTGAAGATTTTTTTGTGAACCGAAGGAAAATCTTAAATAAATCTGTTTATTTTTTATTTTGGGGATGTTATTTGTAATCAGCTCAGTTTTTTTTTTTTGTATACAGTATAAAAAATAGAAAGGTACATTGGGTTTGTAAGAGTACATAACGTTGGTGTTTTTACATTCTTGCAAAGCTACTAACACTTATAGTATCCAGTGCAACATTGATTCTCTGCTTGAGTTCCACTAGGCTTGTAGGAAGAAGACACCTAGACCAGTCCCTTCACATAGCCCCAAAGAAAAAAATCGCAAGGTGTCAAGTCAGGTGAACATGGTGGCCATTTCAACAGCACATTGTCTTCATCATCAGCATGCCCAATCTGTCTTCCTGGCAAATTCTTGAGATAAGCCCACACAGTGAGCTTTCAATGAGGTGGAGGCCCATCCTGTTGAAAAATTAAGCGTGTGCATGTTCATTTGCAATGAGCTCATCAATTAGCACATTCTGAAACATGTGCAAATAAACATCACCGGTCGATGTTTATCAACATCGATAAACTCAAAGAAAAACAAACTGTGGCGTGGAGATTTTCTTTGCCCCAAAAGCGAACATTATGCTTGTTGACTTCGCTATTCATATGAAATGAGGACTTATCACTGAAAACAAGATAAGTGTTCAAACTTGTCTCCTTCAGGTTTCTCACGTATATTGACAAACTATTGCTTGCGCTGCTGATATGTCAGGTAAGATCTGTGTCAGATTAATTACATTAGTTATTATTTATCCATCTGATAGAAGATTTGTTAGTTTACGTTGTCATTTCCATTATTTAGTTATTAAGTTATAATTTTATTTGACAGAGTAATATGGATACTCTTGGTAATATCACAATTGTCTCATTCTTAAATTACCTTGATAATTATTAATTATGTTTAGATTATCTTGAGCTCATCTTGATGAATTCGGGGCTTTTTTTTAGTGTCCCCGCGGCCTGGTCCTCGACCAGGCCTCCACCCCCAGGAAGCAGCCTGTGACAGCTGACTAACACCCAGGTACCTATTTTACTGCTAGGTAACAGGGGCATAGGGTGAAAGAAACTCTGCCCATTGTTTCTCGCCGGCGCCTGGGATCAAACCCAGGACCACAGGATCACAAGTCCAGCGTGCTGTCCGCTCGGCCGACCAGCTCCCTCATAAGGTCACCTATAAGTTGACCTTATGTGGGTGACCTTACTAACAGATTCCTCATGGTTAATGACTTGAGCATAAATCCCCCCATGGTTTTTAGAAAAAAACTCTTAATAAATTAATGAATGGCTTGGCTACTGATTTAAGACCTAAATACTAACTATTCCAGGAACGTTCCTGTCTAGACTTTGAAGTCTCTGATAACTTGACTGCTTTTAATCTATCATGAACACCACAAGCATATTTTACTAATTATTTTATTCCCAGGTCATGACAATGTTACAATTTTTACTTTTCACCCAGCGTGTCCTAAAGTTTCCCAAAGTTAAGAAACTATTGTACTAAAGTGCCCTCTCCTAACTTACCAGAGGACCCAAAACAGAAAATTGGACAGAGTCAATTCTGCGAGCCACTACTATATTATAGTACAAAGATTTTTGCCCTTCGGTAGAGTATGTGTCAAGATGCGATCCTATATTAGGAGGACAAGTTGTTTCACCGCAGCTTCTCTATACTGTGAGGGAGGTAATGATGTTATTGACCTTATAGGTGCACAATGAAAGTCAATACACACACAATTCACACCCACCCTAACCATGTTTCTACACATTGTTGAGGCATGTTGGTAGGTATTATGTCCACTGTCGACAGTTTGGTTGATTATCTGTTGACAATTGCCGAGTTTTAACACTGGCAGCCTGGCCTGTGGCCATCCTTCCCAGTCAATTGCCTGGTCTGTGAGGTTGTTTGTGCTTGTAGCCTGAGAGGCCCACATAGCCAATAAAGCCAGGTTGATCCATTAACAACACAAACTTCCCCAGTTCTTTCTTTTTAAGCTCCTGCAGTTGTTCCACTGACATTTCTTATATCTGTGTTGGAAGATTTCTCCCAACCATAGGCAAAATATTAGATCAGGGCAGGAAATAACATGCATGTAATTTTTTGAAGGAGTAGCATTTAATGATAACATTTTACCTATTCATTTACTCACCTTTCATGCACATTTCATTATGTCCCAGAACACTAAACCAACAGAAATAAAAAAATAAACTGTCTCTAAACTCTTACCTAAAGTGATGAATATAAAGATGAGGATCAGGTGCCAGGAAGCATACAAGTCCGCTAACACTTGCTCCAAAATATCCATTGTATTGAGGTAACCATAAAGGTTATACAGAATTCCTGTAGGTCCTTCACCTTTTAATGGCACACACCGATTGAGTACAGGATTGCTGCAAAAGATAGTTACATGGATACCTACAAACTCTATATCAAAAACAAACTACCAGGTAATTAAAAAGTTTACTAACAGGTAAATCAATCTCTTATCTATATAAATAAAAATGTAAATGTTAGTTTGTTCAAAATCGTTAAACTCTCAAAGTTCTTCACCGATTGCATTGATATTTTGATGCCACATTCCATTCGCATCCGAGCGTGTTTTTATATACATACTATATAGATATCACGTCTGTGATGAAAAAAAAAAAAATTTAAAAAAACTGTTTTTCATGTGAGGGAAATCTTCGAAACCACTTTACCGATTACTTTGAAATTTTGACACAATGTTGCATTCAAATAGGCGTGTGTTTTTATATACCTACTATGCGAACAAGCCTGAATGGTCCCCAGGATTCAGGGGACCATTCCTCATATACCTACTATATACATGCCTCACCTGTGACAGGAAAAAACATGCTTTTTTTTTAAACAGCGCCATCTACTAGACGTAAGAGCAACACACACTGTAATCTCCAAAAGTTCTTCACCGACTCCTTTGAAATTTAGACACAACGTTTCACTCGAATACGTGCATGTTTTTATATCCCTACTATATAGATGCCACACCTGTGGTAAAAAAAAAAAAAAGCCATCTGTTGCACATAAGAGCAACATACGCTATACTGTACTAAATACATTACGATTCCATTTTAATGTTTCCAATTGCATTGACAAATTGAATTTTCATAGATTTCAATTTATTTTCATTTTGATTTAATTATTTTGTGACATTGCATTGGAATTGAGCTGTGTTTTTACCATACTGTTCATTTCGTGAGTATAGTTTATTTTTTTATTTTTTCATATTTTCATTTCATTTTTTAACTTTCTTATTTCAGTCATGGGAACATCAGATAACTTGATGTTCCCAATTTTCTGATGGGAACATCAGACCATTTGGGAAGGCATTGGACGAGGGAGTGGGGAATGGTGGGGATGACAAGAGGACGGAAGTGAGAGATGGTGGGGGGGGGGGGGACAAGGGAGTGAGTAATGGTGTGGAAGGACGAGGGGACGGGGGAGTTTGGGATGATGGGGACGAGGGGATAGGGGAATGGAGAATGATGGGGAGGACAAAGGGACAGGGGAATGGAGAATGATGGGGAGGACAAAGGGACAGGGGAATGGAGAATGATGGGGAGGACAAAGGGACAGGGGAATGGAGAATGATGGGGAGGACAAAGGGACAGGGGAATGGAGAATGATGGGGAGGACAAAGGGACAGGGGAGTGGGGCATGGTGGGAAGGAAGAGGGGATGGTGGAGTGGGGAATGGTTGGGAGGCCGAGGAGACGGGTGAGGAGAATGGTGGCTCAGCAACTCGCATGTATTACCGAGCCACAGCAACGTGTGGCCGGGTACTGCTAGTGGTGTAATAAAAACAATAACAGTATGGTGGGAGGAACAATGTTGGTGAATAAGATATTGGAGGAGTGAGTGAGGACTGGCTGGGTGTGGCAGCTCACACTCACGGAGTTCTGAGTGTGTTTATGGTGTGTGTATACATTGTGTAAATAGATTGTATATATACAAAATTAGCATGATCTATTGGAAATATGTGCCGTATATGTATTCACATGTCATGCACATAACACAGTGTCTTCGGACAGTACGGATGTTCTACTGCCATAATATAGTGTACGTGTTCATTATACTGTACATAGGATTGGCACATAAAGACAAATAAGATGTATTTGGAACTGTGCGCAAAAAAATGAACAAAAATATATTCGTGGCAACTCGCTCATCTTGAGTCGCGCGCCCTACTGGCCCCGGGAGCGTAAGCCATGGCGACCGGGGAATGATGATGTCACGTGCGAACTTACGGACTCCATAGCAGTCAAAGTAAGTACAATTTTGACCCTTTGTTACCATATCCATACTCAGGGAAGGGGTTTTGACACTTTCAAACAAACACAAAAAAAAAAAAAATTATTTCCTTTGCATTTAGGGGGGGGGCCGTATTTGGAAGCCGAGCAGCTCAGTGGTTAAGTGGCTAAAAACAGCTGTTGGTAAATATATTTTCCACTAGAGACTTATCTAATTGGTCTTACCTTTGAAAAACTGGCAAAGCGGGACACTCGGCTAACAGCAAGCTGGCATTCAGGGACAGGTCATTAGAAGATTTAACCCAGCTAACATCTTGATCATATTTCTCGTAGTCATATCTGAAATATTTTATAATTTATCATAGTTGAGTCAGAATAACACAAGACTGAGTGAATATGAAACACCACTTTCTGAGCACAGCACTAGAGATGCTTCCTGTCACAGCATCATGAAATCATAACATATCTTGGCTTATTATGTCCTGCAATCAGATATATTGCTTACATATACTGTACCAGTATATCTTGTAAATCTGTTCATCCATTTCTATATTATTATTACTTTTTAGATGTAGGTTATTGCCATATTTTTTTGTCTTAATCAAATTTACTTTTAAAGGCACAAAAGCAGCAAACATTGAATATATATATACTATAATACTGAATAATCAATGCTGGATTTTTATACTCATTCGTCTATTTTTTAAAGCATTACCAACATAACAAGTTTTACTAATAATAACTCCCTATTTCTTGTATTAGGTTCTATTAATGATTTCTTGGTATGATAATAGAGGGAATTATGACCACACAAGCACTTCTGGGAATGTCCCTTATATATGAGATAAGCAGCATAACTTCTCTGTAGAAAATGGCAACAACATTTTCTCACAGTTCTTAGTCTTATTCTATATGGATTAGTTTTATGTTTGAAGAGGCCTCGCATAAAATTTGAGGCCTGGTGTAATTACTAACAAACCCCAGAGAAAAACTTTGCATAAATCAGCCTGATCAACCAGGCTGTGACTCATACGTCAGGCTGCGAGCAGCCGCGTCCAACAGCCTGGTTGATCAGTCCGGCAACCAGGAGGCCTGGTCGACAACCGGGCCGCGGGGACGCTAAGCCCCGGAAGCACCTCAAGGTAACCTCAAGGTAAATCAATAAAGGTTTAAAATTACGGATTATACCATAACAAACCATTTGCAAAATATTCGGAAGACATTCCAGTGATTTAAACAAACATATATTTATAATTTATAAATCAGAAAAACATGGAAGAGAGAATGCTAGTTATGAAGATCAAAATTAATCAGTCATGGAAAAGCTTTCAATTGAATATAAAAAAAAAGCATTGCCTTTTTCTGTAGGAGTCCTGGTCACTCCCTGAAGCTATCTTGCTGAGATTCTCCATACTAAAATTTCACGTCAGAGTTCTGTTTGACCAACCAGGGGATCAGAGCAAGAACCCGGCCTTAATCACAAAGGTGCAGGGGGCGAGTGACAATCTGTCAACCCACCATAAATACCTCCAGAAACTCAAAAGTTTTACAGACAACTGCAGGGTTCAAGGAAAACAAAGCCTCGAAACTGTCAAACAACTCTGCAAATAATTCACACAGAACAAGCAATTCACTCAAACTAGTTCAAAACTTGTTAGAACCAAATACAACGAAACCAAATACCAATGGGCCCAGGCAGTTTTGCGCCCCAACCTTCAGCTGGCTCCGATGGTCAGTTCTGCAGCTGGTGAACAGCCCAATGATGAACCAATGAACCTGGAGGGAGAGTCTGAATTGGGGATCCCGCTGTGACTTAACCAGAGAAGCATTTCATTACATTCAATGCTGGGTTTCTGGAGGGAGCTCTCTGGTCCGCTGGTTCAGGGAGCCCTTGAAGCCAACTAACCATAGAGAACAAAAATGGGACTCGCCAGGAAGAAGAGGCAGCAAGCACTAGGACAGAGAAGAGAACCTAGGCTGGGGGAGACAGCCCAAAGCCATTCATAACCAACTGGGACCAAGACCATTGACTAAATACCAGGCCGCAAAAACCCTGCTAGTACACCATTCCTCCGTCTCCCCCCCTCGAGCCCAAATATCTCCCCAGGACATGTTTGAGAAGACAGTGGCCAAAGCTGTGTACAGTATTTGCAAACGCTGTGGCCCTAGAGTAGATCAAGCTGCCTAGACTTAATGACACTGCAGACAACCTGAGAAATGTGAACCTTGAAACAGGAAACCATGGAAAACGGGTTCAATTAACATGGCGTCCACCAAGGCAGAACCATTGTCTCATAAGTAGTTGCAAAAAGTCACCACCAGACACAACAATTGATGCACACCCCAGCTTTAACAATCAAGCATCAATCACCAATAAGACCCCTCTGGAAGCCTGCCAACTCAATCCTCACCACAAAACAAAGAGAAGGCTGCAGATAAACAAACTACCCACCAGGGCCAAAGGAACAGAACCCCTGCCTCTGGAGAAGAGCCTCAAGCACCTCAACCAAACTGCCAGAGAGAGCGAGAGCGCGAGCGAGTGAACGAACGAACGAACGAACGAAGGAAGGAAAGGAAGGAAAGGACAGGAAGGAAAGGAAAGGAAAGGAAGGAAAGGAAAGGAAGGAAAGGAAAGGAAGGAAAGGAAAGGAAAGGAAGGAAAGGAAAGGAAGGAAAGGAAAGGAAGGAAAGGAAAGGAAAGAAAGGAAAGGAAAGAAAGGAAAGGAAAGAAAGGAAAGGAAAGAAAGGAAAGGAAAGGAAGGAAAGGAAAGGAAAGAAAGGAAAGGAAAGAAAGGAAAGGAAAGAAAGGAAAGGAAAGAAAGGAAAGGAAAGAAAGGAAAGGAAAGAAAGGAAAGGAAAGAAAGGAAAGGAAAGAAAGGAAAAAGGAAAGAAAGGAAAGGAAAGGAAAGAAAGAAAGGAAAGAAAGGAAAGGAAAGAAAGGAAAGGAAAGAAAGGAAAGGAAAGAAAGGAAAGGAAAGAAAGGAAAGGAAAGAAAGGAAAGGAAAGAAAGGAAAGGAAAGAAAGGAAAGGAAAGAAAGGAAAGGAAAGAAAGGAAAGGAAAGAAAGGAAAGGAAAGAAAGGAAAGAAAGGAAAGGAAAGAAAGGAAAGGAAAGAAAGGAAAGGAAAGAAAGGAAAGGAAAGAAAGGAAAGGAAGGAAAGGAAAGGAAGGAAAGGAAAGGAAAGAAAGGAAAGGAAAGAAAGGAAAGGAAAGAAAGGAAAGAAAGGAAAGGAAAGAAAGGAAAGGAAAGAAAGGAAAGAAAAGAAAGAAAAGAGTGTTAAAAGACCAGCATTGAACTTAATGAAATGCCACTGTCTGGGCGAGCTCCGGAGGCTCCCTGGAGCTATAGGACTGATATGCGATATATTAGTCTGGGGCTTCAGTCAATGGCGTTCTGCCTACTGGGGACTATGAGGCAGAACCTGCCCCCCCCCCCCCCTCAGAGAGGTGCAGGGGGCAATGGCCTATGGAAACCCCCTTCGATTTGGGGTAATTCCCTGTCTGCCATCGACCAGGGTTAGGCACCCAGAAAGGTAGGCATCTCAAAACAAATCCAGATTTGTTTTGATTTGTTTCCACAGGAAAGGAAATTGCAAAAAAACTGGAGACTGAACAAAGAAACACAACTCCCCAAAAAGAAACAAGTAAAATAAGCAAACAAGCAAACGTTAACCACAGCCGCCGTGCTGCTAGTCCACGCAGCTGGAGAGGGGGGACCCCACGACCCCCCCCCCCTGGATGCTCAGCTCCTCAGTTCGGAGGCTGAGCATAAAAACGAAACCGCCAACCGGAAGGAGGGAGGGTGCCAGAGAGCCTCCGAGGCTCACCCAGAAAGTTTCATTGCAGTACATTCAACACTAGTTTTCTGTGAGGAGCCCCTTCGACTCCCTGGAACTACATAACCAAAGATAAGTAAAAGAAGGACTTACCGGGAAGGCGGCTGCACCGCGTGGATCAACTCAAAGACGAGACAACTGGCTGCAACCTGCGACCCAAAGCCCCACCTGAACAACTGGGACCAGGGACATTTACCAAATAGCAGGTGGCCAGGACCCTGTTTGACCTCCAAAACCCCCGCGCCTCAATGTCAACCCGGGACATGTTGCCAAACACGGCAGTCAAAGTAGCATACAGGACTTGCAAACGGCATGGGCACGAGGGTAGACCACAGGCTGGCTAGACTTAATAACCCTGCGGAAGACCTAAGAGACCCGAGCCTTGGAACAGGGAATGAGGGAAATCGGATCAATCCAAAGCGTGTCCACAGCCACAAAAGTCGAGGTGCACAGGTAATGGCGCAGAGCCTCAACCGGACAACACATGATGCACCCTCGGTCAGACCAACCATGCATCAATAACCCAAGGACCCCTCCAGAAGCCCGCTGTCTTGTTCTTCACGCGAAAAGTAGGAGACAGCTGCAACTGAATAAAATGCCAACCAGGACCAAAAAAGCAGAAACCTCTGCACCAGAGAGCATGAAGCTCACTGACCTGACCCCCAGAGGCCAATGCCAGCAGAAACAGAGCCTTCTCAAAGTATTCTCGAACCGAAGGGGCCACCACAAACTGAGGAGAGAGAAAAAGAGAGCACCCTGCCCAAGGACCAGGACGGCTCAGGCGGCGCATAAGCAGGCCGGAGGTGAAATAAAGCATGAGAAAGCTTATGGAACAAGGCGAAAGTGACATCCACCTCGAACTCGAACTGGAGCGGCTCTGCCAGTACCGCACGATACGAGGCGACAATATTCGGCACAAGATGACTCTCCAAAAAGAGCCAAGAAAGGAATGACAAGGCAACCCGAACCGAATAGAAGTCAACCTACAAAGAGAAACGAAATGGCGAAAAGACTGCCAAGACATGTCATACTGTAGCCGAGACCAGGACCACAGGTGGGACACTATCAACAAGGCCACCTGATCACCATAAAGTGGTGATACACCTGCGTCAAAAAGACCAGATGCGAAGAACGAACCAGCCACATACAGGGGTACCTCGGTTTAAGAGTTTAATCCATTCCTGGAGACAGCTCGTAATCCGAAAACTCGTAAACCGAAGCCAATTTCCCCATAAGAAATAATGGGAAATGAATTAATCTGTTCCTGACTACCCAAAAACTTCACTTCAAACTAAATTTTATACCTAATTCATCCAAATCTACACTACAAAAGTATGTTTAAGTTTTACTTACCCTTGCTGATGACTACTGTTGGCGTAGGGAAAATGGTGAGGAGGGTGAGGAGGAGAGGTGTTACTGTTTGGAAGGGGAGTCCCCTTCCATTATAACATTAGGCAGTAAAGATTTTTCTGGAGTGCACTCTCTGGCACGTTTTGCCTGCATAC